CACCTCCCGGGGCAGTGCTACTCGCTGAAGTGTCTTTAAGCCATTCCCAAAAGCGGGACATTAACCTGTTCTAATGCGCAATAGAATTGTAAATGGGCTGATTCATCAATGTCATGCTTATGACTGTGCCTGAACTGCAACAGGAAACTGCTGCTTTTTCTTTCCTAATCCTTACTAATGTCATTTTATCCTCTATTTCTTTTGTATGTTTGTCGCACTCTTGTGACCCGCTATTTCCGGGATACCTTAATAGTCGAAGCAGACTTTGTGCTGGTGAAGCTAGAGAGGTGAGCAGAGTAAGCCTGATTCCCTGTAAAGACTTCTCTGTTGACATCCACCCCTTGGCCCTCATATGACCGTATGCAGTTGCGAGTGCCGTAAAACCTCTACTAAAACTAAACTGAAAAATGTGCGTTTTGTCTTTCGGAGCAAATTTTCCTGCTGTGCTGCTCAATTTGTCTTTCTTTGTTCAATACCACTTTTATGTCGTGAGTAAAATTTGTTGTAAAATGACAGTAACTGATTTTTGGAAAATAAGCAAAATACCACATGATGAATGATTTAAGTAGAATAACCATGATATGAGAGTGATTTAATTTTGTTTTGTAAAATAAAAACACATTCTTATCGTTATTTTATAACTTAAGACTCATCGAGTAAGTTAAAAATAAAATTAATTAAATAGGCTCAGATTTCAATTGTCTCCAACATCTTAGATGAACACAGAGAAAGATCTATTATCTACTTCTTAAAAACATAATATTAGTCAGTCTTTATGATTCAGCTGTTGATACTGACAACAAAAACCATCTTCTTCTGCACAAAAATTATAAGATTTAGATCTGTAGCAATTTTTCGTTTTATGTCCATCTTTATTTTCATCGTCATCATCATCATCATCATCATCATCATCATCATCATCATCATCATCATCATCATCATCATCATCATCATCATCATTGTAGGTAGCAGGAAATAAAAAAAGGGGGTTGAGACTTAGTAGATTTTTCAAATTTTATATAAGTTCAACGTTTCGCCCTGTAAAGCGCTTCGACAGGAACATAATGTACAAAAACATCATCATCATCATCATCATCATCATCACATCATCATCATCACATCATCATCACATCATCATCATCATCATCATCATCATCATCATCATCATCATCATCATCACATCATCATCATCATCATCATCATCATCATCATCATCATCATCATCA